TTTTTTTTTTTTTTTTTTTTTGGTACCAGGCTCGAACTTCAGGTCCTTGTGCTCGCAAGGCAGGCGGCGGAACCGCTGAGCTAAATCCCCAGCCCTATAATATAGCACTTTAAAATGCTTATATTTGTAAAACGTAAATATTTAACATGAGTTATTCAAAAATTCAGCTAATATTAATATTGTTGACTATCTTAGGAAATCCTGGTCTACGTGAAACTATTTTAGGAATAGTCAGTTTGTTTACAGCAGTGCTTTTCAACCTTGACTGCACTTTAGAATCGCCTAGAGAGCTAGGGCACACCCAGATCAGTTATGTCCTGATCTCTGGGGGTTGGGCCCAAGCTAAGCTCCCAAATGTACAGCTGGGGATAAGGACCAGTGGTTTACAGAGTTAAATTTCACAGGCATTTCTAAATGTTCAACACCCTCACTAGTAAAAATTGTCAGTTATATAGTAGTACAATTTTATGTCAGTGTTGGACCCTCTTGTTTGTGTTTCTTAAGATTTAATATTAACCAGATTTCTCTGGATTCTGTTGAGATTATTTCCTGAGGAAAATACCACCTGCTTCAGATGTGTGATCTGTGTGTTACACCTCAGTAGAGTTTACATAGATATCTACCGTGTATTTTAATAAGTAATTCATATGACAATGAAAAAGGAACTTTTTAGTCTACTTTAAATTATAAAATATATTTTATAAATTATAAAATAGTTTAGATATTGACATGATATTCATTGAGGAAGTTATGCTTTGAAATACTTAGAATTTAGAAAATATGAAACTATAGATTATTTTTTATGAGAAACATGAAATTAGAATTTTTCTCCCAGTATAACACATTTATTTTCTCTCTGTGGCTTAGCAAAGCCACTGAAAATTCCTATATCTATGTAAATTTTATTTTGAATGATATAGACAAATATTTCCTAAAATGGAAATGAGTAGTCATTTATATCTAACACCAGATTAATCAGTCTGAATTTGTTATGAGGAAATAAACATCCCTCAATATATCAAACACATTTTACAGGGCAGCTATTTAATTGTTCTTTTTTGCAGAAATGTTGATTTTTCAGTATATAGATAGCATAGTGAAAGGCTGCAAAACCATTATGCTAAGTTAACGACAAAATTGTTTTCATTGAAGCCAAGCGTAGTGGCAAATGCCTGTAATCCCAGCACTTGGGAGGCTGAGGCAGGAAGATTGTCTGGAGTTTGGAGCTGGCTCAGGCTACATAATGAGTTCAAGCCCAGCCTAAACTACAGAGCAAGACTCTGTCTCAAACAACAACAGCAGCTACAACAAAATTGTTGTCGTTGAATTGAACATGCCTAGAAAGTTCTAATGGGGTGACAGCAATACTTTGGCAACATCTCCTGTAAGAAGGTGACTCTGTGACCTATAGCCTTTGCACTGATCAAATCAAGAATGCTTCTAAATTCCTGGATAACACAGTGCTTCCCAGGCATGTTCTTGTCGCTGACATTTTTCTCTTGGAAGTTGAGATGCAGAGCACTCAGTGCCCTGAAGTTGAATCTCAAATTATCTTTTGGGCCAAAGGCATTGCCACTGCAATGGCAAAATCCTTATAAGCAAAAATGCCCCCCCCCAATTGTTCAAAGCTAATCAGTCATGATCAGTTTGCCTTGGAATATGAATTTTACAATTCTTGGAAGTTCATCTATTTGAAGCTTTTTGGTGAGGAGGGTTCCAAGGATCACTTCTTGCTCAAAGGTGGGTGCTAATTTATTGGAAGGGAGTGTTGGCTAATGCTTTTGGAAATTAACTGTTTAAAAATCTATAATCATCTTTTCATTTTCTTTTCAGGATATGGTAACTCAAAAAAACACAGTAAGTATTACATTTTCAAGTTTTTAACCTCATAAATGTAAATTAGTGAAATGCTTGTCTGAAAATCACACAGGCAGCAAGCAAGGTGATTTCTAATTCTGCCTTTTGGTTGTGCTTTTTGAGAATGACAGCTAGAAACTCCCTCCCAATTCCTCCACCTACTAGCTCACACAGACCCCCGTTGGCCTTTGAGAGAGTGGGGCAGAAGGCAAAGGAAGGAAAATTATTTTCTTCATCATTCACTGGGGCATTGAGCTTGGAACCATTTAGCGCTCTCCGGAGCTGGGTTTATATTCCCATGGACCACCAAGAGTCTTTGATAAAGCTAATACTTTCCATACTTAGCCACCAAAGTTTTCCTGGTAATGGAGGAACATGAACTGGTACCTCTTGTACAAGCCTAAAGTTCCTTTCTACAAGCTGAAAAGAAATGGGATGGAATTCCTCATTTTATTACTTATGTACTGAAATATATTTATTTGGCTTAAAAACTGCATAATTTTAATCACCATATTGGTTTTGATAATACAGTGAAATTATCACCTCAAAATATTTAAATGAATCATGTCCCCCAAAATTGTGCCAAAATTATCCTGTACCTTTGCACTCCAAACTCCTCCTTCCTCCAAGGTTTGTGGCAGTGATGGTGAACCCTTTAGAGATGAGTGTCCAAACTGCAACCGCAAACCCACTTATTTATTGCAAAGTGGCAATAAACCTGAATACTGAGGTTTTATTTTAGGAAAAACAACTCATATGTTAACATCTGTCTTCATCGATAAACAACATGCATGCCATAGGTTTGCTACCAATGACCTATGGCATTGTGGTTTGAGAAACTGCCACCTAGACTAGAACAAGTCCTTGCTTCCTATCTTTTAGGCCTCAGCTTCCTTCCCACTTGCCCTTCTAAAAGGGCCTTTTCCTGTCCCTGTTGAAATTCCTATAGGGATAGAGGTAGAAGGGGCCAGAAGTGAAACTCTCCCCAGAGAACGCTCTCCAGAGGAGCAGGAGCTTTGTGTAACTTTACCCCTTCACAGAACGTCCCACCCTACAGCTGCAAGGCCCAGACTTTCCCAGTACCCGACCTGAGATGTAAGCCTTGGCCTTCTTCCCCTACAAGAGGATGAACTTCTAGAAACAAAGTAAATAGTGTAATTCTTGCAGTTACCACTGGAGCATGGATTTACAAAATAGTTTGAAAAATAAGCATGAGGATTCTTTTAAATTCCTCTTGGAAAAGAATTGGAGCATCATTTGGCTTCATTTTATTCTATTGATGTGCTAACATTCACTTATGGAGGATGCTTTCCTGTTCTTTGTATATCTTCATTTTTTTTACATTACTTTTTTCATGGAAAAATAGGGGAACAGGGCTGGGGATTTAGCTCAGTGGTGCCGCTGCCTGCCTTGCAAGCACAAGGTCCTGAGTTCGATCCCTGGTACCAAAAATATTTTTTAAAAAAAGAAAGAAGGAAAAATAGGTAACAATTGAAGTAACTTAGGCCTGAGGCCTGGGAAATACACTTGTAGTTGCATTTTTGTGTCTTAGTCACATTAGGCAGTTGATCCACCCTGTCTGGGTCACATCAGTAAAATGAGAAATATTGAACCCTGTTTTTTTGTTTGTGAATACCTTCCAGCATTCAACATTTGTGGTTCCATATTTATAGTACAAATGAGAGGTTGTAACTTGGATATAATGCAAGGGTTGTGTATAAAACAGTTGTTCCTTGAAATAGCAAGAGATACATTAAGGCAAGAAGCAAAAAAAAAAAATTTGTTTTCCTTTTTCCACTCCTGACTATTGGGTGCATCTGCAATTAGAAACATATATCCTTAGTGTTAAAATTAATGCTAAGTAGTTTAATGAATTCTGTTATAATTCCATATGTCTTCTATTATACATTTTCCTCCTAAACACTCAGTAATTCCTATATCATTCATAGTAATTCTAAGCATACCTTGGCACCATTTTTTGTAAGTGTTTTGTTTGTTAGCAGTGAATTTATTCTACAGGATTTGGCAACTGATGTTTCCGTTAGTTAACATCACATTAGAATTCAGTGCCCAGTATTGGTTACCCTGCTTGGCAAAGTGTGAAATATTAGAGCATCCAGAAGAATTGTAAAAAGGACCTGAATTGACTTGGGGAATAGAATAAAACACCAAAGAGGAAAGGCTAAAGGGAAATAGACATTAGGAGGTGCCACTAATGGTTATGCTCAAGTGTTACTCTCTAAAGTGAGGAGACTGGTATTGCTTCCACTCCAAATGGGATGGAAGTAGGGCAAACAGGAGAACAGTTTGGATCGACAGAATGGACAGCTTGCAGCTAATGGTGATTAAACATTAAAACAATACCAAAGTAAATTAGAGTAAGGAGGAGAGTTTGCTTAGTGGGCCTTTGGGGTAATATTGGAATAGGAAGCCTGAATTTTAAGACTCCAAAGGTTCTGAGAGAGGATCAGGTGGAATTGTGGGTTTGTGGCCATTTTTGAAAGATTAAACACACACACGCACAATGTCATAACTAGTGAATTCTAAAGTCCTCTAAATCAGGTGCAGATTAAATACAACATCTTGAACGTGTAGGCAGAAGTTTGAAGTGATTTGAGAATATATGAAAATCAAAATGCTTCGAAATATGCTTTGAGAAACAGTTTGCTGGTTCTAGAATTGTACCTGATGTATTGAATTCATTCAACAGAGGGGTGAGCATGTTTGCCTTCATTTCTAGGAACATTTTCTTGGCAGAGATATAAAGGACAGAAAGTCTCTGGGCTTGAGGATAGACCGTGTGTAGCCATTCTGGGCTCCTTTGGTTTTTGGAATGAAGGCATCACCTTTAGTGCTCACGTTTTTTTCACATGACACTCATTTCTCATGTTTCAAGTTTTGTTTTTTAGAACACTTTGCTTAGGAGCTTATGCATCATAAAATTGACCCATTTTAAGCTCCACACAATTATTATGCTCCAGTTTTGGAGCATTTCCTGCATCCCCCAATATGCCCATTTGCAGACAGTCCCTGTTCCTATCCCCAGCAGCAAGCAACTACTAATCTTTTACATCTTATAGGTTTGCCTTTTCAGAGCTTTCAACACGAATGGAGTCATGCAGTATGTGGTATTTTGCATCTGACGTTTCATTTAGCAGGATGGCTTTGAAGTTCATCCATGATGTAAGATGTATCAGTAGTTTGATCCTTGTAATTGTTAAATGACATACTGCTGTATAGATATTCCACATTTTATTTATCCATTCTTCAGTGATTGACATTTGAGTTGTTTCCACTTTGGGGCTACTATGAAGAATACTGGTATGAACATTTAAGCACAAGTTTTCACATAGATGAGTTTTCATTCTTCTTGACTAGATGTCTGGGAATAGAATTGCTGGATCATATGTTAAGTATATGTTTAATTTCTTAAGAAACTGTCAAAATGATTCCAAAGTGGCTGTACTATTTTATATTTCCACAAACATTGGAGGGTCCAATTACTTCACATTCTCACCGGTGCTTGGTATTTTTATTATAGCTGTCTTAGTTACTTTTCTCATTGTTGAGGCAAATACCTGGCACCCAAAGTTAAAGGAAGAAGTCTTTTGTGGCTCACAGTTTGTAGAGGTTTCAGTCCATAATCGGCTGGTTCCAAGCCAAGGTGGCATGGCAGAGGAGCATCACAGAGGAGAGCAGTTCATTGCAAAGCAGGGGAGGCAGAAGGCAGCCAGCAGTGAAGTAGCAAGCAGCAAGTGACAACAGCAGTCTTCTTTCTGTCCCTTATATTCTACCTTATCCAGGCTGCCTGCCCTTAGGGTGGGAGATCCTTAATCCTAGCATCGCAACATGAATCAATTATAGCATCACACCATTAATCCCATCATCACATACCCTAGATTCAGCCACCTCTGAAAAGCCCCACCTATGACCATATGAGGCTTTGGGGGAACATCTAGATACAAGGCACAATAGTCATTCTACTGAGTGAAGTGATATCTCATTGTGGATTTAATTTGCTTCTTCCTAGTGATACTCAGCATTTTTTTGTTATTAACCATTTATAGTCTTTGGTGAAATGTCTAATAAAATCTTTCCCCCAGTTTTAATTGGGTTGTTTACTAATTATGGAATTGTAAGAGTTCTTTATTCTGGAAGCAACGCCCTTATCAGTGGCTTTGTAAGTTATTTCTTTTAAGGTAATATTTCTAAGGTAGTTTCTAAGAACTCAGCCCAACTCAATGTCAGGAAATATTACTACTATGTTTTTAAAAAATGTTTTATAGTTTTAGCTCTTATATGTAGGTATCTGATCCATGCTGAGTTAATTTTTATATATGGTGTGAGGTAGGTTGTTAAGTTCATTCTTTTTTCATGTGAATATCCAGTTGTCCTAGCACCTTTTTTTCTGGGAAGACTTTATTTTCCTCCATTAAATTACCTTGGGACTCTTGTTGAAATTAATTGAGCATAGATGAAAAGGTTTATTTCTGGACTTTCAGTTGTAATTCATTGATCTATATGTCTATCCTTATGTAAGTGCTGTGTTTTGATTATTATAGTGCTGTAATAGTTTTTGGAATTAGGTTGTCTGAGTTATTCGACTTTGTTATTTTTCAACATTGTTTTAACCAATTCTAGCTCCATATGAATTTTTTTGTGAGAAAAAATTGAAATTTTAAGTAATATGTTTAATTAGCTCCATGTGAGTTTGAGGATTGGCTTTCCCATTTCTGCAAAAGAGACTGTTGACAGAGTTTGCATTGTATCTGTAGATTGCTTATTTACATCTTAACCATATTAAGCCTTCCAGTCCACAAACATGGGCTATTTAGGCCTCCCTTAATTTCTATCAATAATATTTTGTAGTTTCTAGTATACAAGTCTTTCACTTCCTTGAATTTAAACTTACTGTTAGGTATTTTATTCTTTTAGGTGATCTTGTAAATGAAACTGTTTTCTTAATTTTATTTTCAGGGTTAAGTTTTTAAAATCTGTCT